TTCAGTGATCTTGGAGCCAGTGAAAAAGAGCAAAGAGGACAAAAGTCCAAAATGGTCTGGTGTGAGGCTCTATCTAGTGCTATAAAACCCTGTGCTTCAAGTGCAAAAGGCTAATTGAGCTGCTCCAGGCAACAGTGGTGCTTATCTGAGTTAATTTATTTTGTGGCTGTTCTTGCCAACAGTACCTCAGCTACCAGAGAAAGTGCTAGAAGTCTTTTTGTTCCTGTGAAAGGACTTTTTGTCTTAGGCAAAGGGCAGTGTTTACACTTGCTAAGCCTCAGTGGAAGGGGCACACATCCGTAGCATCAAACATGCATGGAGGCTTTTGAAGTTCTCTTTTTTGGCATTTGAGAGCATTTTGGTTTTAGTATCTGTTGCCTATTAACATTCAAGGAGCAAAGCTGATGCTGTAGCATATTAAGCAGCTCCTCAACAAATGTATTCCTTTCCTCCCCATTGCTTCTCCTCTCTCCTATCACCCCTATCTCGGATACATGTCACAGTAGCTTGCTAATGGTTTGCATGTGGTCAAAAAGCTCAAATAAATGTGCTGAACTCAAAAGATTGTTGGTAGTAGGACAAAATGATGGTTTCAACAAAGGGGGTAGATGTAGATAATTTGATTGAAGGGAGCATCTTCCCAATTGTCTAGAAAAGATCGGTATGATGCAATTTGGCTCTAGCTAGCCAGGGAAATACTTACGGAAGTTCCTTGGCTGTCATCAAAATAAATCATATGGACCAGAGAGTCTCTTTGGGTACCAGAACTGCTTTAAGAGAGTTGTTTCATATTAGTGAGGATTTTTTTAAAGTCAATCTAGATAACTTTTTTTTTCATGAACTTATGTGAATAGGCTTACTCCTTAAAAAAAAAGGCTTTAAAAGATTAAATAAGCCAGTCATAAGTAGACAAAGCAGACAGACAGAAAAATTAATTAAAATAATCAGTACATACCTGGTTAATCTCGTGTTTTAGTTAAAAAAAGGGAACCCCCTCCCCCCCCCCGCCCCAAACACTTCAATTGACACTTAACTTTTTACTGATATCTTTGTGGTATCAAACTGATTGATTGCCTCTTTCTTGATCCTTCTCCCCTTCCCTACCCAGTGGAATCTTCATTGAGAGAAACAAACAAGGTGGTACTTCTTCCAGTTAATTAAAGTTACTCTACAGAGGGAAGGAAAACACATTTGTATAATGAGAAAAATGCACCTATAGCATATTGTAATAAGAATTTAAGCCAGTAATTCAAAATAAAAAGCTTTTCTCCACTATATCTGTTTAGTTAATATTAAAATTAGACTATATATTAAAACAGGCAGTCATTGTCCTTTTATCTATTAAAAGGTGATCTCTTCAGCAACTTTGGGATACCTCTGCATCTCCAAAAATAAATATAGATATTCTTACATTTTCCTTTTGTTCTCATTGCTTTCATACCTGCATCTGTGACAGAATTTGCTTCACAGATAGGTCCTCCAAAATCTGTAAAATCCACATTTAGGTAAATATATTAGGACTCAATTTGGTGGTTTTTAACCATGCACACACTGAAGGCATGTGCAGCAATGGAGACACATGAAGGACACAATATCCAAGAGCCATCTGCTGCTGTCGTCCTTGTTTCTGATGTGCGCTGGACCTCATGCAACAGGTCATCGAGTAAGAGAAAAGCTGCTCACTGCAGTTCAAATTGTGGAGGACCTGGGTTCAAAGGAGTCATACAAAGTCTCAGGCCTGAAAAAGGAGATGAGGGAGAGCAACATCTACCTGTGGTTATCTCAGCTTTCCAGGAAATCTCTCATTCTGGATACGCTGCAGAGGAAATGACCCCACATATGATCAGAGACTTCTTATTAAGGGATTCATACCCCTGCCTTATTGCAAACTCCCTTTAAGAGCATGGCTGGATTGCAGCCAGAGCACTTGGTGCCTTGCAAATCTGAGCTCATGAATTAAAAACATCATTCAGCTTGCTGCAAGCAGTAATGTGAAAGTCAGGACATAGGCTAATAGGGAAAACAAGGCTTCAGTCCAGTAGGAAGAGACTGCCAGGAAAAGCCTCTCCAAAAGGGCAGATCTTACTGGAGCTGCGGTGAGGGAGCCTCCGCTTGCACCCCAACCCAGAAGACTCAGGAAGCCTTATTTTGCTGTCAGAGAAGAGGAACAGTAAGCGCTGGCTTTCCACACCTTGTGAAGAAGAGGATTGCGATTGCAGATTTGTGGCACCCATGCTGTATGATAAATATTATGCAAAGGCTATGAAAATCTTTACTAAAAGGGCATCTGCTGAACTCAGAGGTTGTGATGAATGCAGAGAAAAAGCAGCAAGCACAAGCTCCTCCAGAAGCTCCAGTTCTACCATCTTTTTCATAATCACAGATGCATTGTCGAGCACTTTCAAGCAGTTGCTGAAATACACCCAACTTAAAATCATAGTAAATATCTTCCATTTTGAACTACATTTAGCTTCTCTAGTCATCTAGCTGCATAATCCTGATCCCACAAATCCTAATGCTTCTGTAACAGGAGAGCAGCCTTGTGAAAAGAAGGATGTAGGATCTACCTTATTTATTTATTTATTTAAGACCTTTTTAAAATGTGCCCAGTTAATTCAGCATGCTGTGTTATACATAGGCAATGCAGTGTACCTGCTCAGATATAGCTTCTAAGGAGGTATCTACATCTGGCTGTCAGCCACAGGGACAACAGTTTGTTTTCCTTTCCAGTCCAATTTAGATTTGACTGTCAGCACTCTTGTAAACACTGAAATCCAGGTCAATTAAAGTGATATATGACAACTGACCACAATATTTGCACAGTGCTACAGGCAATAAGCACAACTTTCCCCAGGAACATTCAATTAATCAATCACATCTCCTATTCCATATATCTGCCTCTCGTTTCCCACTCTATCTTATCATCTTACCAAAGTTTCAGTCCTTTTTTTTAAGAGCCACTAAGCCCTCTCCCCACAGAATGGAGTATGATCAAACATATGGCACCACAGCAGTTTACAGAGCTTATTTAAATCTTTTAAATTAAATTTTTTCAAGAAGGAAACATTATCTTCAAGGTCAAGCCTTTCCCTGGTTGACAGAAGACCCAGCTACATCACCAATTTTAACAAAGAAGACAACACTTGTTTTCCATCAGACTTCATAAGTAAAGGCATTGATTTTGTTTTAATGAATGTATGCAGATAAAAAAAGGCAGACAGCTTTACGAAAAGGACAATAACCTGCTCAATAGCAGCAGCTGTTTTTAAATATATGTCCGTGAATGCACAATTAAGACACCCAAATGTCTGCTGATCTTTTTTGCCCAAATCCTATGCTTACAAAAAGGATTTCTGTCTTCCATTTCCTCGAATATCTGAATCAAAATCTCCTGTTTTCTAATTCCTCATACTTTGTGCATATTGCAGCAATACTGTTTCCTGATATAATCTTCTTTCCAGACAGCTTGATTCCAAGTAATTAGCTACATCAGGATTTCTCCATAGCAAATCAATTGTTGATAGCTTTAGCTCAGCCAGATATAAGCTTTAGCATCATGACACGCCTCTCAAAAGAAGTCACAAAAACGGCAAGCGACTATTATAGCAAGCCTCTCAAAAACAAACTATGCTCCCTTATATCCAGTGGTCCTTTGACTTTGGTTTTATCTTTTACCCTTTCAATATATTCTCCAAAGACAGAATGAATAAAAATGTGCTCCAATTAATCTTCAATAAGATGTAATTCCTAATAAGACTCCTCCGAATCTGGACTAATTAATCTGAGAAAGCTTGGCAAAGTCTGGTCCAGGTACAACGTAAGCAAAATTTTTAAAAAATGGAAATAGTGACTACAACAATAAGTTCCTATTAATGCAACACTTCAGGCAGGCCAGCCAGTGCAGGACAACCCTACCTTATAACGATTTATGCAAGGAAGGAAGCAGTAAGTAGAAATCAAGGGCCAAGTCCAGAGAAAAGCTGAGCTTTCTGAATTCACTGAGGAGGGTGTTCTACATTTTTCAGGAACTGGTCCAAATGCTTTATCTCCTCTTGTAATAAAAATCTTTAGAAAGTAAATTTCCTGAGGCTTCTGGAGATATGTGCCATTTGTGCCATTAAAAGCATCAAATGAAGTGTTTCACTGACTTTAAGAAGTTATATTTGAAATGAAACAAATCTTTCACAGGAAGACCTACTGCCAATTGGAAGTTTATTCTCAATTTCAGAGTGTGCAAGTCCAAGCACACAGTGACCAGCTGAAAATAAACTCAAGCAAAGATGTTATTGCATCTTGATGAGCTAGTGCTGGTTAACCAAGTTCTCATGGCTGCCAGCATTCATTCCTATGCCAATCCAATTGCAAGGCAAACACGTTACTTTTACCTGTTCTCACTCTCTCTCAGTATTTGATAAGTTTGGTCACCTTACTTTGAGTTTTAAATAAAGTACCTATCATTTAAAGTTTTCGTGCAGTACCAGGAAACCACATTATCATTTTATTGCTATAAATGTTTATATAGTGTTGCTAGGCTTCCTAGGGGCAAGTCTCTTCCTCCTCTTCCTCCTCCTCCTCCTCCTCTTCCATCACTGCAGCAAAATTTATGACTTTTTCTTCCCTGGGGATTTTAATGTAAAGAGCTGATAGGCCTGTGAAAGGAATTGTAGAGAGCATGGAGACACTTCTCAGTACTCAGATTTGTTTTCTTGCACACTCTCTGAAAAGGAGCTGGGTTACCAGAACAACTGAGAATCTTATATAGGCATCACCCTTCCTTTAGTTCTAAAGAGCCGTTGGTATGCACTCAAAGCACCCCTCACCATGCACGAGTGATTGCTGCATATACAAACCAGAGAGTAAAAGCCAAGGCTACTGCTGCATTGAGCACATTCATGTTGTCGTGTTTGTTCTTCTCTTGTAAGACACCACTTGTTGCATAGTCCTGCACTCAGACAGGCAAGATTCTATTCAATGACTGACAATAGATCATTTTTAAAACATTTTTCCTCTTTTTATTTTTATTTTATTTTATTTTTTTCCTGATGGTTGCTACAAGCAAAGGAGGTATTCAGAAACGTAACTGCACAATACAAATACAGGCAGCAAACTAAGTTGATGGCATGAAAGGTGTATCTGAGAACACAGAGTTGACAGAATCAGAGTCAGATTTTGTTCGGGTAGTTTTTAAGATACTCTCCGCAATGACATTGTCATTAGGAAACAGTTTTACTTTCCCATTCTGACCATGCTTTGGTTCATTCACGGGTTCCAGGAAAACCACCCTCTTACCGGTGCTTGCCTTCTTCTCATCAGCAGGCAGCTCTGGTGGCGGCGTGGAGTTCAGGATGGACGAATGGGCACCGCTTTGGTTGAGCTTTCTCTTTCTCTTTTTTGTCTTACACTGACACGGACATGGGGTCAGATAGAGATAAAGCAGTACTAAAATAATACTGGCTACACAGGCAGCGAGGGTGGTAAAAGCTGTGTTAAATGCTTCGTGAGCATGGGACCTGTTCACTGTGAAATTGCTGACATTTATTCTAACCTCTATGGTTTCATTCAGGAGTCTTTTCTTATTTATTGCAATGCAGGAATACAGCCCGGAGTCCTCCAGCTGGGCATCCGTTATCTCCAGACTCCCATTGTGGAACACCCTGAAGTTGTCAGTCTCCCTGTCTGGCTCCAGCAGCCGGTTGTCTGGGCTCAGCCAAACGAAGTACGTGCCTGCATCGCTGATCCTGCTGTCACAGGGCACAACCAGTCTGTCGCCAACCTGCGCATCATGAATGAACCCAAAGGCTTGGAAAGAGCTGTTGATGGTGCTTTCTGAGCAATTCAGAAAGTTGTCGTGCAGTAAAGGCAGCTTGTTGTAACCTCTTGGATCCGACCGCAATGAACAGGAGTACTCGTTCCTGAAGTCCACCACAGGGCTGAAGTGCCTCTGATACCAGAAGATCAGCATGGAGTAGAGGGTACAGTCACAATAAAATGGGTTGCCGTGAAGATAAATTCCACTTAGATACTTGGCTGGCACTGAACTCAGGCGCTGAATAGGCATCGCCTGAATGTGATTAAAGGAAACGTCCAGCAACGCCAGTTCTGTCAATTTATGCTTTCCAATGTACAAGTCCAGTGGAAAATGTGAGAGTAAGTTGTAGCTCAGGTACAGCTTTTCCAATTTGTACAATCCTCCAAAGGCTGAAGGCTCTATCTGCATTATGTGGTTGTTGTAAAGCAGGAGCACTTCCAGGGCCCTCAGCTCCTGAAACAAAGGGCTGCCCAGCGACTTCAGGCTGTTGGATGACAAGTCTAGGTACTTCAAATTTGGGGTTGTGGAAAAACTTCCAGTGATAATACTACTAATGCTGTTATGACTGACTATTAAAGTGTTCAGTTTCTCAAACAGTACTGGAACCCATTCAGGTTCCAAAAACCCAATTCGGTTGTAACTCAGATCCAGTCTTTTTATACACTTGTAAAGATTTCCCGGCACCCTGGAGAGGTTCCTATTGGTGCAGCTCACGATGTCGCTGGCGCAGATGCAGGCTGTCGGACACATCCCCGAGGCATTGCCACAAACACTCACTGCAAGAACCAAGAGGCACGCCAGTCCCTTGCAGTTCAACTTAAAAGCACCCAGTAGAGTAGGAATTGTCCAGCAGTTTAAAGACATTGTGACTGTCCTTTAGCTGTGTCCCAATGCTCCTTGCCAGAGATTATACGTGTAGTTAGCTCTGCACTAATCACTGTCAAAGGGGAATACAGAAGTACAGTATATTAACACTTAAGATTCATGACCTGCCTGATTTCTTATTCATGTCTTTGAGCAAATAAAGTGAATTAATCCTTTCTGTTTCACATAGGTAATTTTGAAATCTAGTTCTTCTCAGGTGATGGTTTGGCATTTTTCTATAAACACAAAACTCTTCGCTCTTCTATAAATATTCATATTGCAGATATGATTTTTCCTCTCCAAAAACTGCAACAATTCTTCAGCCCTGAACCATGGAATGTAATTTCAAACAGATCACAAAAATACATCATCAGAAGTGCTCATCTGTGGAGTATTCCTGACAATAGCATCTCTTACCTGTTTCCAGGTCAGCACGGAAATGAAACTTCTGATGCAAGAAAAAGAAATGCCTTATCTAGAAACGTTCTTTTCTTATCTAATGGGAAGCATTTACATGTATTTCTTCCCAATCAGAAAATGTCACACATTTTCAAGCACAGAATTTTCTCAGACTACTTAAGTTTCTAAATGTCATACAAGTTTTTCTTCTCTCTCTCTCTTTTTTTTTTCTTTTTTCTGAATCAGTAACTGATAGTGCAAATAGTAATTTTTAAAGTTATTCAAGATATCCTTTGGAATATTTTGCATTCTGTTATCTTTTTTTGTTATCTTTGCCAAAATAACTGTTTGGGACAAATTTTTCCATGCCTGGTGTCTATCTCAAGCAGAAGTTGTCAGAACTTTCAGTTAGAATGAGTCAGCCATTTCTCAAAACTTAGTAAAGCAAAAAAAATTTTGTTCATACATAAATCTTAAGGACAAAACCAACCATATACTTCCCTGAGAATATCTTAGTGTCTCTATGGTTTGAAAGAGGGACTTGAAATTTGGCGGAGTAGTTACTCTATGCCAGGAGATATGCTCTTTGCCATCTCCTAGGAAAATGTACACATAATTAGCACAGTAATGAACATTTTTGTTCACTCTTGCTCTCCCTGGATACCTGTTAAAGAGTTTGTCCCTGGTGAATCTATGTGCGTTGATTATCTCTATCCTTTCATAGCTAACATGATATTCAGCACATTCATCTCATACTCATTTCTCAAGTGTGATTGACCCTTTGGGACATTACTTGGGCAGCACAGCTCCAGCAGCTAGGCTGCTCTTCTGCTCAGAAGTCGTGGGCTGCTATGGGGTCTATGTCCAAAAAAGGGGGAGATTGGACACTGCAGAGGGGCTAAAGAAGGAGAAGGAGGAAGTAAATTCAAGTGAAGATAAAGCCAAATAAAAGAAGAAACAGTGTATCAGAGAATTGGTGATTCATGAAGAAAGCGTGAGTCTAGAAGAGAAATATTAAGAGCAAGACCTAATGGGTAGAAGAGAACTGAAAGAAGAAGCATCCAGAAAGAGGAAAAACAATGCGAGATGCATATAGAAGGAAGGAAGGGCAAAAACAGGGAAGCAGATGTAAATGGAGCATCACTACTGTTACTAGCAAATCAGCTAAGGATGAGGTGGGTTGGAGGCAATAGAAGTCAGCTGAGCATATGATAAGCATGGAAAAAGAGATAGGAAGGTGATAAAGGACAACATGTTTAAGCAGAGGAAGAGAGGCAAGAGTTCAGGAGATGAACCTTAGAACACAATTCTTGGAAGAATTTGCACCTGCTACTTGTAACTCTGAGATCATCTATCCAAGTCAATGTGTTAGGCACCAAGCTCCACTCCCCTTCAGTTCCTTGTTCCTCTTTCTTCTATCCCTTTGTCAAGTTGGCAGTCTTTTTTCTTCTGCTGACCACAGTCTTCTAATCTTAAGTGGCAGAGGATGCAATATGAATCTGAAAAGCTACAGCTTCTAATGACACATTTAAAGCAATGAGGTGAAGGAAGCAACTGGGGAGAATTCTTCTTCCAGAAGAATTTAAAGAATATACATATATATCCCTTATATTTATAAATTTATATTTAAATTTATATAAATATATATTTACATTATATACCCTTTGTACAAGCATTTGCAAAATCAATATTGAGATTTTTGTAAGACTGATAAGTCAAGTGCTCAAGCTAAAGTGTCAGAATTAAGGTCTTCTGTGCCATTTTAAATTTTATATACAGTCTTCAGTTACATGATCACTTAACTTTTTTTCCACAAAGCCGTTCTTCACACAGTGCACAGAATCAGAGAAATAACAAAGAAAGAAAGGATGATTACATCAAAAGGTAAGTAAGTGGTAATACCTGAGAACAAGAACATATCCTACCTGTCACAGAATTCCTGTGAGACCAGCCAAATTATGGGAACTATCGACTTGGAAAATAATGAACATATTATAGTCACTAGCTTGATACTTAGAAATAAGTATTCCCTACTTTGGGAAGGATTGATGGGAAGAAGTGCTGAGAACTGCAAACTGCTGTGGCTATCCATGAAAGCTCTATCCTGGACAGATGAAGTTTCAAGTGCTCTACTTCACACTTTTTGCTGACAGGTCAGAAGTACCTTTCTTCCCTGTGTATTAAAAGAGGTTTAAGAGCATGATATTAACAATAGGGGACTTTGCAAAAATAAATTAATTGATCAGGAAAAAAAAAGGTAATAACAAATTTCATAAAGTCTTCTGGGCTTTCAGAACCTGTGAAGTATCTAACTGCCTGAGGAACTCAGCTAGGAACCGAAAGGGATCGCAGAAGTTCCCAAAGGACCTTCTCAGTGGTGCCCAGTTACAGGACAAGGGACAACAAGCACAAACTGAAATGCAGGAAGTTCTGTCTGAACTTTTTTACTGTGAGGGTGTCTGGAATATGTTGTCGAGAGAGGTCATGGAGTCTCCATCCATGGAGATGTTCAAAGCCTGACTGGCCATGGTCCTGGGTAACCTCCTCTAGCTGATCCTGCTTGAACCAGGGGGTTGGCCTGGATAGTCTCCAAATCTTAGCAAATCTGGGATTCTGCCACACTAAAAAGGGAATTGAAATGAATTAGGAGGTAGAAAGAGCTACACATATGTTCTTAAAAGTTCCCAAACATTTCCCCATTACTTAGCGCTACTCTAGGTGGCGTCTGTGGCAGTGGCTTGCGGAAGCTTCCCATTGTAGCAAAGTGCTTGAAAGTTTGATTTTGCAACATAATTTTTAATATAAGTACACTTGTAAAAGATGAATGGCACTTTTAAAATCGGCTCCTACACTGAATACAACTGCAATCCTGCAGATGCTTCAAATGGGACACGTCAGCGCACAGTTTGGGAAGAACTTATATAAGTATGTTTAATGCACTAAACCTTTCATGTTTGTTTCTATGCATATTTACAGTTATCTCAAAAGAAACTCTGAGCTAGTCTGCAATCAAATCCCAAGGACAGAATCATGGCTGGTGTAAATCAGCATAATACCTTTCCATTCTAAGGATCAAAAAGTCTAGGATCTGAAAGTGTGTTTTTACATTTCCAAAGTTTGTTAAAGTTGCCAAATGAGAATTGTTTCAGATAACTTCAGATAAATTTTCTTGACAAGCAAGACAAATCCATACTAAGTACCTCAATGCAACTGTGTCTATGCAAGGCTATTTTGGAGTCCCCTGACAAGCATGCCCAACTAAAGAGTGCTTTCTCACTCAAAGCAGTTTCTACATTTTTGGTAGGTTCTTTGCTCTTTTGGAAAGCAGGATACTTCACAGAACTCCAGGAGGGTAAATGATACCAAAACACTGTTGCAGTGCAATTTGTTCCATTCTTTTGGAACACCAAAATTTTGGCACAAATTACACAGGATATTCTGCAACAAACCCAAGCTTCCTGAACATAAATGTTAACATGCGTGAACACATTCAAAATGGCTGAAAACATTATTCTAGGTTTGCATGTGTAGGTGTTAAGAAGCAAGAAAGAGTAAGACCTGCTATTGATCTTGCATTAAAAATGGCATATCCTAACAAAAATACTAAAGATTTAATAAAAGTATAGTTTTGTGAACTTCACTACCAAGTATTTTCTCATAAGAGATACTACTATTAAATATTGTCAGCTAACATGTGCCAATAGACTCCATCTGTAGTACTTTGTTATTTCCAAATGAGTTGGGTAAACAGCTTTTTCGATTTATAGTAAAATGAAGGTACTTGATTTTTTGAAGAAATAGTATATTTATCGTGTTAAAAGCAGCTACTCATAGCAAAGGGAGATGTTCGACACTGATGAACATCCTCAGTTATGACTGTAAGATCGATTTATGTCTTTCATTAATCACTACCACTTTCTCACAGTCATTTCTCTCACTAATGCTACAGTAGTAACGTTGACACCAGCGTTCTCTTCTCCTTTAAATATCTCCAGACTTATGGCTGTTTCTTCCAGGAAACCTGTATACCAACTACCTTTCCCAGCTCATCTGAGACTTTCTTTAAAAACCCTTATGCGCTGTGTCTTCTAATTTTGAATGAGTTTGGAGACCAGAAGTCACCTGAGTGCTTTTGCACACATTACCACTAGTGTGTTCAAAAGGAAACAAATTTGATTGATTGGGACTTTACAGCAGGAACAACACCCTCCTGTACACTGGTGATACAAATAGTCTGGTGCAGTTGGAAGCCTAGCTGATACTTTTTGTACAGTAAAAATGCAAACTCTTGAACACAACCCCTCCAGCACTACAGGAAGGAATAAGTTTACTGAATCAAGAGTACAACCAGTAGGAACCACTGGAAATATCCAAAAGGCCCACAATAGCATCCTCTGGCTTCTTCCCTTGCTAAGTGCCACTTCCTCCCTCTCTGCTCTCTGTTCCCTGCTCACCATCCTCTCCCCAGCCTGTTTGCCACTTCATTGCCAAGCTCATTGCTTGCTGACTTTTCCACGTTCTCATCGACTCCCAAACCCTGCACCGCTCCTCTGCCCCTTCTTCCAGCCTGCATGAATCAAGGCTGCATTAGTTAAATATAATGCATGAAATCAAACAGTATCAACATTGTCTCCTTGGAGCTCCTTTTGTATGGTATGTAACAACACATTTTAT